AACTAGTGAGGTGTTCTTTTCATGCCCAGAAATAGCTCTGTAAGGAAAATACAAGCTTGAGATACAGAAGGAAAATGCTCAAAGGGCATCAGGAATAGGCACCTCCTACACAAACACTCCATTATAAAGCACCAAAAAGATTTTTTTTTTTCATGGCTGGAGAGGCATTTGAAACATCTAGAAATTCTAGTGAATCACAGAGACGTTTGCCAAGGCAACGAACACAACAGAACAGACAAGACAAATTCAGCGCTAAGGAAAGAACAGTAGGTTAAAGCTGCAATGAACCTTGAAAGCTTCAGTGTACAGAGGTCAAGCAGTGAGAGACTCTTTCCCTTCCTTATCCTGATCCAAACTCCACAGGGATCCCACAGCAGGTTCACACCAGGTGAGAGAGTGGTTGGCATCCATGAACCAACACAGGAGTGACCAAGAACAAAGAGCTGGATCTCTGCGTGACTTCCTCCTCCTCGGGATGCCTTTTTCTAGCACAGCAAGTACTCCTTAGTTCCTCCACGTCCTCCTTCCTCACTGAACTCTGGCCCTTTCCAAAGGGATGAATTTTGGGTGGTGCAGAGCCAGCGTACCCAACGACAAACACTCGCCAGCAAAATTGCTGGAAATTCAAATGGGCCTGGATCTAAGACAAATCTGACAACATTTTCTATAATTTGAGACGTCTCATTTTCTTCTTTTGTGAAAAAGGAGATGGGCATGTGAAACAAGGTCTGCTGTTGAGGTAAAACAAAGCAAACTCATTCCCTGTCTCCTGCAGCTCCATGATGGAAGCCACTTACTACACGTTGACTCTTCCCCCATCCTTGTCCTTCTGCACATACTGCCCAGCAGTAGCTCGGTGTGAGCTTCAGCAATGCTTACGGCTTCAAGGGAAGGACAAAATTCACCTGATGCTATTGGTTCTCAATCTCTTTTAGCAAACAGTGATGAATATTCCAGATGCTGTGGAACATTTTATGCTAACAAGGCTGAACTCACGGCCTTCAAGAAGGTATAAAGGTTTTTAAAACCTTTTAAAAATACTACATAAAGACCCAACTACTGCTAATAGAGACCAGATGTCAAACTCTGTCCTCGTGACTGATGGCAAAATGGTAACAGCCATCAGCTTATCACATCTTTAACATTCAAAAACCAGTTTCATTTGGTAGCAGAACCCATTTTTCTAACAGGTTTTTTAATTTGCGATTTTATTTTATGTCTGTTTCCAAAAATCTTTTCAACACTTGTCACAAGCAGAGACAGGAGGCTGTGTCTGCTTTGAGAAGTACTTTAGACAGGGAGAAGCAAGCGTGAGTTACATAGAGCCGGGGGCTAGGCAGCTGGATTCCCAAGCTGTAATTCCAGCTTTGCTGCTGACTCAGTGAGTGACCATCATGGAATCACCCCGGTTCCCTCTCCTCACTCTGCAAAGGGTGAGCCACAGGCAGCTCTCTCCAAAGACACCGAGAGGCCAGTGGAGCTGGCCCTTATATATCCTGAATTTAGTTAAAATTGAATTAGTCATGCCTAAACTGCAATGAAATCTATGTATTTGGAGCTGCTCACCTCCTGTTTCAGCACCTGGTTTTTAATGCTCTTGATATATTTGGGTATTCACACAACTGTTCAGAAGGTTGGGGGGCTGCTGTGTAACATGTTTACATACACCTTTTTTTCCACATTGCAAGGTAAGGTTGCACCTGCATAAAAAGGAAAATTTCCAACTTGGATGCAAAATAAGCAGACCTGCCCTTTTGTCAACTGGTTTTTAAAATCAGCTGAGTCAATCTCAGAATGCAGGAGAAGGTCTTCAGCGTGCAAACTCCTTTCCCCTGTTTTTGAGCGTGGAATAATTCTGTTTGTCTTTAAAGAACCACCAAGGATGGCCAAGAGACGATGTGAGCAGCTCGCTGCTGCTGCTGGCCAGGGGCCTGTCAGGGCAGCAGCCGTGACAACATCTCAGAACATTCTGGTGCTACCCCAGCAGCACAGAGGCTGCAGCCACGGTTTGCGGTGCTGCTGCCCCGACCAGCGACGCTCACACGGCAAAACACACAAGAGGCACAGGCATTACGAGCCCACACCCTGCGGCACCCCTGGGAGCTTGGAGAAGGGTGGGATGGTACCAACAGATGCCCAGCATCCTGCCAGAGTGCAAGAGTTAAGGCCATGGCCCTTCATTTATCCTCTTTTGCATAATCAGGATGTTCCAGGGACACAGGAAAAGTTTTTATCACGAGGCCAAAGGAGCGCTTGGTGCACTCGGCACGTACTGGTGCATGGCACATATCCAAGTGAGGGTTGGGAAAGACAGCCCACGACACCTGACATGTTCCCCCCATTCCAATGATCCTTCCACAAACAAAATGGATCTCCCTCCTAGGGCAAATCCACTCACTGCAGTGTAAGGCCTTTCAAACAAACCACAAAACCAGATTTCCCCTATGCAGAAACATTTTAAGTACTGAGAGCATTCAAAACCATCTTCATTTGCATTTTGCCTCTTATGGACCCGCACACCTAATTTGTTCCTAGCCTCCATTTTCCAAGAAAGTCAACAAAAACTGGGAGGGCCCCTACTAGGAGATAATCCCATTTCACAGTAAAACCACTTATTGCTCTTCAGGAATTAAAGTGACAGATACATAAATATCTCACAAATACATATCTCACTTAAATCAATGACTAAATAAAAATACTATATGTACCATATATTCTCTATTTGGATTGTTCTGTGTGTATGATGGGTGTGCCTACATACCCACATATGTGATCTGCTCTACACCCTGCTTTCTGCACAGCACAAGCATGCAGAGATACAGACATAAACAAGTCATTCCTGTGCTGCTGTGTGTCTCCTGCAGCAGGAGCAGGATGGAAAAGCCCAACCTGACCCACCCCCAACCATCTGACTGAAGGCAAGTTTAGGGTGCAGCCAGGCACTTGTTTATGTAACAGCAAGGTACAGCCGCAGTAGAAAGGAGCCAGGAGCAGGGGCTGAATGTTAAAAAGGAGGAAACACACACAACACTGAAGTGTTCTCCCTGTTTTCTAAGCAAAGCCCACTGGTGATCCCTGGATCCAAAAATCTGATTAGGAGCCTGCATCAGCACACATGATTACCAACATGAACACGGCCTGAGCCTGCCTGCTTGCAGCCAGGGATATGCAGCACTCTGGGAAAAGAGATAGCAGAAGGGGCAGTATTAATTCTATCCAGCTTTAATTAAAGTAGTCCAACAGGCATTTGCATCAAACATGTTGAGGAAATAGGATTTGTGAAAATCAGGAAAAAGAACACATGCTGTAATGAAGTAACTGAGATGGGTGCTGGGCAGATAGAAAAAAAAAAGCCCTTCCAGCAAGGACATCCACACATTAAGTACAATTTTTTTAAAAGGCTGTTTTGCAGAGGATTCCACAATCTAAAATGTAATCACAAAAACTACCTTATGCTGCAGTGTCCCATTTAAGGGATTAGGAGAGTAATCACAATCTGCCCCAAGCAGCCCTGCCCAGCATCCAGGCACTGCATACATTAGAAATGACATTCCTGGTTTTTGATAAAGACCATTTGGATGTGACTTAATGAACTCCACAAAGTGAGCCTTTGACAAGTCATGGAGATCCCACCCAGAGGTCCCAAAGGCATCCAACGGCCTCTGTCATTTTATTTAAGCCATGCAGTTGAGAATAGAAAAAGCCCTAAGACTGAATAGAAAACAAATTCAAAACTGTCCAGGTATGCCAAAGGAACAGATGGCTTCTGAATTCTACAGATCTGCCAAAAGGATCTGTAAATTCAAACATTGTATGGCTGAATTCTAGGCTTTTCTTTTTACAAAGATCTGTGTTTACAGGCAATGTAGCAGAAAGGGGTGGGGTGGGGGTGAGGGGGGGAAATTGCCTCCTGATATTTTTCCTTCCAGAGAAATGTATAAAGAATGGATAAAAACACAGTGTCAGGGAATGAGTTGATGCAGATCACAAGCTAGAGAATCCAGACATGGGAGGAAAGAAATGGCAATGAGAAGGCATTAACACAGGCACTTCCAATGCACCACAGTCCTAAAGCCAAGATTAACAGAACCTTCATTTCAGTATTTTCTCCACTTCTGTATTTTCTGTGTCCTTGGAAACTATAGACTGATCTGGCAAACCAATCACCTCCACTGATTTTTTTACTCTCCTCTATTTTTTCATCCCAGACAATGAGAGTTCTCATTCCCTCTAACACAGAAGGAAAACAGTTAATTATAAATGACAAGAATCCTCCCCAAAATCACAACTATCTAAAGAGCTATGCCTTAAGAGAACTAGAAATTGCCATCAGTAACAGAGGCAAACCCAACAGATTGCAGACTTGTGTGCCAGGCCCTACCTAGACAAATACACCTGCAGTGTGCAGTGTAAATACACTGAATCACGGCGGCAAGCCCAGAATCCCTTTCATGACACCCAAAAACTGCAACACAGCTCAGCTGATGCTCCCAGCACCGCAAGGCAGGTCCTACACACAGCGCTGAGCACTGCTGGGGAGGTGGGAAGTGGAGCTAAAAATGGGAAATGGGGGAGAAATGCTGTCGTGAAGCAGAGAAATGCACCTTCACGCTGCAAAGCACAAGCACAGCCACCTCCCTCCCTTGAACTTCTCCAGATCAGCCAGAGGCTTGGAACACCTGGCTGGGAACGACGGCAGGGAGCTCCAGGCCCTTTGGGATGAAGGGAAAGCGGCGTACCGGCTTGCCATCCTTACACGCACGACCCCTGTGTGGCTGTGGGCTGCCATGGCTGGCAGCACTTTAATCCACTGCAGATGGCCTAAGTCCACAGCAGGGCTCAGAGGGAATGGGAAGGGATGCAGAAGGCAAACATTAAGGGAAAGGTTTGGGAAATGAAGGGGACAGCACTGCACGTGGCAGGGAACACCTGTCTGCAAAGTGCCGCACAGCCAGAAGGGTGGGGGGGAAGGGAGAAGGGGGCTGGTTTCCCCCTCGTACCTTGCGTTTCCGATCAGCCCTAGAGATTTTCCGCTGCCTTTTCCTTTCCTTCTCAAGGTTTCTCTCCCTCTCTTCGATTTCAGACTCCCGAACTTTTTTAATGGAAGCGGCTGCGTGAGCCATTTTGGCGAGGAAAACACCAGCTCCAAGGAAGCTCTTCCCAGCACACGCGGATATCCAGGTGATTTATTTTTTCCGCAAGGGCACTGGCTACGAGCCAGAAGTTCACGGCGTAATCCACTCTTCTTCCTCCGGCACCCCAGGAAAGGTCAGGGCTCTGCCCCAGCCCCTGCTGCTGCACCCATAGCTCGGGAGAGCCGCGGCCGCACACGCAGCGTGCCAAAGTGCCCGCAGCCACACACAGAAGCGGGCAGAAAATACCTCCTAGCAGGCTGGAAACCCTTCAGCTTGGCTCTGGCTGCAAGAGAAGGCGGGCTTCAGACTCAGCTGGGAAGGAGAAAAAAAAAAAAAAACAACCCAGGGAGGGAAAAAAAAAATTGGAAAAGAAAAATCGGCTTTTAAACACACATCACCAAATTGGGAAGGTCTTTTGGGATCCCTCCAGAGAGGCTGCGTCTTCTGGCTGGGAGGAGGGCTCCACTTCAGCATCCCCAGCGAGAGGGGGAGGGGGCAGCTCCCGTCAGCTTCTCACATCGCCTTTACACAGGGTGAGAAGAAAATGGTGCAGTCTGACTTAGTGACTTGCTGCTGCGACCGGCTGTGCCGGAGCCCGGCACACGCCTTCCTGCTCCTCTCCTCCTCACGATCCTCCCTCACTGCCGAGGCGGTCCGCAGGAAGCCGGGAGGAAAAGGTGCGGGGCTGGGAGAGCCCAGGCTCAGCCTGCTCACCTGCAGGCAGCAGGAGAGACGCCTGGAAAGGGCTGGCAGTGCTCAAGTCCTCATTGTGCCCCTCCGCAGCCACGTGAGGCTGCATCAGGAGAGCTGCATTCAGCAGCGAACAGAACGCAGCGAGGAGGGACAGCACACAGCACGCAGTGTAATCCGGGCTCAGCCTGCCCCGCTCGGCTCAACCCCACCAAAGGAAAAATCGTACCACCAGGGGTGCTGCTTGTTATTTTTTTCAACCCCAAAAGATGCTCTGAGGCGCTTCCTAAAACAACTTCTGAAGGCCCGCCTTGAAGATGGACAGTGCTTCTCCCTCCGGACCAAAAATATGTTGTTACTTAGTAGCCCTCACTCCCCAAATACCGTGTGGGTTTGGAACACTAATTACTGGTGTTAATATCCGAGGCAGATGGGTCTGTCTTTTCCTCACTGCTTATCCCCCTGCTACACCATCACATCAAAGTTCTACTCCTGCCTCTCTGGATAACTCTTACCATGATTAGCATCAAGATTTTATTCGTCAGAACAGGACATAGGCAGATCAAAATAGACTTTGCATTAGTTGCTAGCAGACAACTGATGCCATTTCAGCTCCCTCCAACACCACTGCTCCTCTTCAGGCAGGTGCTGAGGAGAGGCAGGATGTGACTCCCCAGTGCAGCAGAATCATCTGTATCCCTGGCTTAGTCACCACCCCAGAGTCACAGGGACACGGCAGCTCACTGACACCAGCGCTAAACCCCACCAAATCCAAGAAACAATTCCCAAAGCCAAGTTTCCCCCTGCAATACATTCCCTGGTGTCAGGGAATTGTACTGACCAAGCACCGTGAATTCCTCTGTAACAGCCCCACCACATGAGTGACAGACATCCTGAGCACTCTGCAGCTCACAGACCAGCCTGAATTCCCCCCTCACACTGCCGTGGTACCCAGAGATCTCAGTGGCCTCCAGTTCATGCAAAGCAGGACCATTTATTGTCACCATGGAGCTGCTCCTCATTGATGACTTCTGTCGTTACTATAAGGTTTCACTTGGAGAATATCACGGACCAAATTTTTACAATGGATTATATATCAAAACTACAAAGCACTATAAAAGCATCTTTAAAACAGGGATCTATTTTGTATTGGAGCCAGTGATCTGTGCATTCAATCAAAAACACATTTCCCTAGTGGAAGGAGGCATGGGAAGCAGCAGGGCAGGGAGTGCCAGCCAAGCTTTTTCTGGCTCCTCTCTTTCTACAGGCTCTTTCTCCCAGTTGTTCCCATTTGTGGAAAACTAGGCTACACAAAGCTAAGGGCTAAATCACAAGTGGCTGCAGCAACAGCCACCAGAACAGTGAGACAGGTGGAGGCACTCAGGGAATAAAATAAAGGGGGAAATTGGAATCCCTGATAGGACTGCCATGCCTTGTCTTCTTCACATTGCATGAACGCCACAGGTGCCATCACTCGTAAACCAGAAAATAACAGCTGGTAGTCTAGAACTGAACTTTCTTGATAGCTTTCCAATCTTTTCATGGCATCTTAAGAAGTTTGAAGGTAAGACCAAGTCACAAGCCACCCCACTTAAAAATCCCAGTCTTAGGATTTCCCAGTATCATGGTTCAAGGTGTCTAAGCCACTAAATGCTTAAATCCTGAGGCATGGTGCACACAGTAGGGTTTGAGACACAGGAGGGATTATGGCAGTCATTATTATTAAACAATTTAATATTATTAAACAATCATCTTTTGATGATTGATACATGCAGATACATCACCTCAGTAACAAATAATTTTTCTTTCAGAAAACTTGCTTAGAAGTTAACCAAGATCTTGATGTACTTTCTCACCCATGGTATACGAGTAAAATATCAGACACTGGAACCAAACAACTGGTGCCCAGCAAAATCAAACTAAATAGAAAATATTCTTTACAGGATTACTGGTAAAGAAGAACTTCAGGTCAGCTCTGTGAGTTCACTACTATGTTCCACAAATATTTTCTCCCTAACCTTAAAGAGATATAAAAGTAATTCATAATTTTGTGGCCAAAAAAATAAAAAAGAAGGAATAAAAGTTACTTCTGATAGATTACTTTGGAAAGAACATAACTTGTCTGGGGAGAAGGACATAAAGTATGTATCAATATTTGACACAGCTTATGTCCCTGCAGGAAAGAAGTGTTCCAAGACAGATTTTCCTAAAAAGAAGTAGAAACAGTCTTGTCATCGCATTGCCTATACAGATCCTAACAAAAACAAATCCTTCTGCAGACATCAGTCTGAAGATTACATTTTCAAGTAAAAATGGAGACTGAGCGATTTCCCCCTAAACATAGAAATGTATTATGGAGGTGCTACATCAGAAAAGCAGAATACACAGAGATGCTGTCACAAACAGTGTGTGGGAGGGGAGTGGGAGAGTGGGCAGATGCACAATAACAGAAGAACACAGTTCCAGAGAAAGGGTGAGTTTTCTCTGAAATGCATGTGTCATCCTCAGCTTAGAATGTAGAAATACAGAACTTGTGAGATTCAACAAATTCCCATTTGGGATAATAAAGCTTACAAAGCTTCCAAGGCTTCAACCTGCACAGAGCCCTGTGTGATCTGTGAACAGACTCCAAGTGATGAACCTCACCCAAGATGGGGATGCTTAACTGGGGCTCCAGCTGTTGCCTGCTCACAAACTGGGCATAAAGCATCAGCTTCCTGACCTGACCTGCTGATTTCACAGTCTCCAGGTTATTTTCCCTGACCTGGCCCACCAGCTGAGACACTCAGCACCAGCACTGCAGTGGCCACAGCTAGGACCAGCACCAGGCTTTACCTGCCAGCTTTCAGGCAGGCTTGATTTGCTGAGCAAATCAGCATTTGCAGTCCATAAAAACCTAGTGGGTGAAACCCAACAGTAATTGAGTACAAAAAGAGAGGATGTAAACAAGTGATTATCTTCCCTGAAGCATATCCAGTATCAGGGCCCAGCTCACAAAAATGAGCTGCTCTCCATATAAATCACGTGGGCAGTGCAAAAATCAAGTTAAGACCAAGTTTAGAAACCACGCCGAGGAAATGTGACTCAAATTTGTTCCCAAAGGTACAAAAAGAAAAAAAAAAGGGAGGCATTGATGGAATGGGAAAAGCCTTTCATGCTTCATAGCCAGCATGGAGACTTGTTTCCAGTTCTAATCTCGGGTACATTCAGGAAACTGCCTGGAAATCAAAACTGGTTTCAAAGAGCTAAAATGGGAAAGGGCTGTCCTGGGCAATAGCTGGCCAGGATGAAAATTGGACAGCTCAATATTTTGTCTAAGGACATGAAAAGCCTGTCTGGACAAGACAGATTACCATTCAGTAGGGGAATTAGTCTCCCTCCAAAGCGATGCCCTGCCTAACTTGTACAGGATAATGCACAAGTGCATCCACAAGGTATTTTGGGAAATCTGCAACAACCATCATCCCTGTCCCTAGGAACTGTGCATTGATTTAAATTTCTGAGAGGCAGGACAGATTATGCCAGGCTTGGAAATGTGCACACAGCCACGAGCGGCCTGGAAACCAGAGAGCCTGAATTAGCTCGCCTCCACCCACAAGCACAGATGAAAACCTTCCCTCTGCTGCTCTTCCAGCCAGGCTAAATGGAGGAGTCTTCTCCCTCTGCTCAGAAAATCTCTCAACACCTCCTCTTGAGGGATGTGGATGGAGATGATGGAATTGTTTTAATAGGCTCAAAAATAGTTGGAAATGCCAGAGCAGAGTAACAAAGTACTTAATTCAACTGTTTAAATGAATTCAGAGGGATTGTGTGTATTAGCATATCCTGCCATTTCAGTGCCCACAGGCCTGGGTATTCCTAAAAAAGCACCAAAGTAATCCTTGCAGAAAATAAAAGTACAAGGATAACTATGGAAGCACAGGCTGCAGTTATAAATTACCTCCTGTACCACTCATTGTTTAACCCACACCCTTAATTATTAATCACAAATTAGTTATTCTATAGGTATGTCATTCTACAGGTACAATAACTCTGGAAGTAAGTTAACAATCTCATATCCATGCTGTATAGGTTTCATTTTATATCTCCTGAGAGAAAATACATTAAGGTTAAAAAAAAAAAATTAGGAAAAAGCTCTACATTCTTTCAGTCTTATTTTACTGAATATACAAAGACAGCGTGTTCCTCAAAGTTCTGTGATGGAAATTAGTGTCACTGAGCTGGAAATGAGAAGATGATATATAAAACTATGTCCTGCCTTTTTCTGTACCTTGAGTATATCTATTTTATTAATTGAAAAACAAGCAATACC